GCACGCGGGACCGATGAAAGCTGCCGAGTAGACTGCAGCGCGCTCTGGCGACAGCAGAGCAGCTGCGAGAGAGAGAGAGAGAGAGAGGCTGTAATGTGGAGGAGGAGAAGGAGGAGAAGGAGGAAGAGGAGGGGATGAGAGAGGTGAGGAGGAGAATAGAAGAAGGAAGAAGAGGAGATGAGAAGGTGAGGAAAGAGAAAGGAGAGGTGAGGAATGAGAAGCACTCCTTCCTCCGCCTTCCTCCGCTCCTCTTCACTTTCCCTCCCACACCTCCTCATCCTCCTCCTCCTCTCCTCGTCCTCCTCCCACTCCCACCTCTTCCCATCCCCCACGCCCACCCTCGGATTTATTTCCTTGGCTTTCGCGATCAACTTTTTACTTGCGGTTTTTTTGTTTTTGCGCGATTTCTTAGTGGCTATGTATGAATTCAAAGTGGAGAGCGTGGCTAAATATGGAGTCAGAGTGGAGAGCGTATCTATAGAGGGTCCCTATTTATATATAGAGACGCCTAGTATGTATTATATGGAGTCAGAGTGGAGAGAGTGGTTAGATAGAGTCACGGCCTGATCAGTTTTCTGAGTTGTGTATCGGTCGTCGTGGTGCGCGGTTGATAAAGCTACTGCTGCTGCTGCCACACCCACTGCCCCTGCACCCACGCCATTGAGTGCTTGTTGTGTTGCTGCTGGAGGGAGGGTGATGGCTGTGCTGCTCGGCGCTTGGGGCGCTACTGCTACTGATGCTGCTGCTGTGTGCTGTGTGCTGCTGGGCTGTGTGGTGTGCTGCTGCTGCTAGTAATGGCGTGGCTGCTGCGCTGGGGGGGAGGTGCTGCTGCTGGCTATTGGTGGTGTGTGGGGTGGTGTGTGATGGTGGTGGTGTGGGTGATGGTGTGTGTGTGTGTGTGGGGGCTGCGCTGCTACTTACTGCTGCTGCTGCTAGTGGTTGTGGTGCTGCTGTTACTGCTGGGCTGTCCTTGCTGCTGCTGCGCTGCTACTGCTGCTTCTGCTGCTAGGCGGGGTGGGGGTGGTGCTGCGCTACTGCGCTGCTGCTGGCTGCTGCTGGGCACTGACACGCTCTGCACTACTACTACTACTACTACACTACTACTACTACTACAACTAACTCTACTACTACTACTACTACTACTCGCTGCTGCTATCGCACTGCTGCTGCTGCTAGCTACTGCTGCTGTTGGCGTTGTTGTTGTGGCTGCTGAGCGCTGGCTGCTGCTACTACGTGCCTACACTGCTGTCGCTGCTAACTGGCTGCTGAATACTACTGGCTACTATACGCTGTCTGCTACTACACTACCACTACTAATACACTACTAATAATACTACTAATACTACTACTGCTAGCTGATGCGCTACTGCTACTGCTCGCTGCTATACCTACTGCTGCTGTTGCTGCTGCTGTTGCTGCTGCTGCTGCCTACTACTGCTGGCTACTATACTGGTGCTACTAGTACTGCTGCTGCTGCTGCCCTATACTACTACTGGCTACTGCTAGCGTTGGCTACTAGCTACTACTAATCTAAGCTATCACCTACTAACTACACTACTACACTGCTGCTGCTGCTGCTGCTGGTACCGAAGCTGCTGCTGCTGCTGCAGGAGGTGGTGCTGAGTGGTGTGGTTGCCTGCTGCACTGGTGTGGTGAGGGTTGCCCTGTTTTACTGCTCGCTGGCCAGTGACTGGTGGCTGCTGGCGTGATGGTATGCGAGTTGCTTTGCTACCTAAGCTGAGAGGCAGCGTAATTAGATAGAGGGCGCGGCGTGCTGCCTATAACGCTACTATTCGTCCTTCCGTAGTAGTTTCGACACTCGACTGGGCGAGTGTGAGCGATGACGATAAAGGCTGGAGCTCCTAGAGAGAGAAGAGGGAGTTGGGTTAACACAGTGGAAGAGTGACGGCATAGATCACAAGTCTCTGCTTCGTCTGTCTCTCTCTCCTATCTATCAGTTTATTTATCTATTTATCTATCTATCTATCTATAGCTATCTACTATCTATGCTATCTATCTACATCTATCTATCTATCTCTTATCTATCGATGCTATCTAAATCTATCTATCTATCTATCTAACCTGTCGTCTATCTATCATCATCTAGCTATATATATATATATAAGAATTAATATGACATCCAAGTATATTTGGGCTTGGTATGTGAATTAAGTATTTATTAAATTCTGTCATCTCGTCTTGTCTGCTGTCTGTCTGTCTGTCCGCTCTGTCGTCCTGTCTGTCTGTCTTGTCTGTCTGCCTGCCTTGCCTGTCTGTCTGTCTGTCCTATCTATCTATCTATCTATTAACTGATCATCTATCATATATCTATCTATCTAATATCTATCAATCTATCTATCCTATCTATCTAATCTATCTATCTACTATCTATCCACTATCATATATCTATCTTCTATCTATTTACTTCTATCTATCTCAATCTATCTATCTAGCTACTAATTCTATCTATCTATCTATCTATCTATCTATCTAGTCTATCTAATCTATCTAACTATCTATCTATCTATCTATCATATCTATTATATCACTATCTATCTAAAAAACAATACACCGCCAACCCCCGCCAACGCCACACCCACCCCCAACCCAACACCCTCAGCTCACACTCACCAACCCCACCCCACACCTCAGTCCACCCACCCCACCCCCGCACCCATACACACTTACCGCCAGGGCGATCCACTGCACCATCCCAACCCACACCCACGCCACTGCCAACCACCCCATCATCATCCCACACCCACCCACCACCCAACGCCCCACTCGCCCGCCCGCCCCCCGCCCCCGCACCCACACTCACCCCAAGCGATCACCATTCGCTTTAGCAGGAAGTGCGACTCGTAATCGCCGAACACTTTCACCAGCATCTTGTACATATTCACCGCCTCGGTGCACATCCACGCGAGCGTGCTCAGCACCAGGTAGTGCAGGGAGACGGCCACGGTGGTGCACACGGCTGGGGCGTGGTCCTCCTTTGCTCCGAGAAGGAACACCACGTTCATGAGTAGCATGGAGGCGCACAGGTTGAGGAGGATCTTGCCGGAGCGGTCCTTCCGTAGGTACCTGCAGAGAGGAAGAGGAAGAGGTTAGTTGAGGATATGCAACAGGAACCTTATATGCAGGGTGTTCTTCTTACTTCTTAAGTGAGGTGTACTGATGGAATTTTATGATGGAAATCTATGCTAGGATAACTCCTCTTCATTTTAAATGCATAATCTTTGCAAAACATTAGTCATCTCGGGAGATATTGCGCATGCGCGAGCACTATTTTAGGCGTGTATTGCGGACTGACGACAACTTCATAATATAGCTTCCTGAGGGGGAGAGGGGTGGGAAACTGAGGACAGGCGGCAGGAAAGGTAGCTGAGTGCGCGGTTGAAGAAGAAACAGACTGAGAGAGGGACAAAGAAGGCACGGCTGAGGACGGGAGGAGATGAAGTAAGAGTTTTGCACCCTACAGGCTAGGGCGCTCTCCTAATCATAAGCACAGGTTCACAGATACAAATTAATTCCAGAATTCTATGCTGAGATACCCCCTAACCGTATTAAATGCATATTCATTACAAAATATAACTATTCTGGTGAGATATTGCCAAAGCGCTAACACACTAAAGTGGACAGATTGTGTACTGGCTGGTATATGCAACAGGGACCGTATATGCAAGGTGTTCTTCCTACTTCTTAAGTGAGGTGTACTGATGGAATTTTATCATGTAAATCTATGCTAGGACAACTCTTCTTCATTTTGAATGCATAATCTTTGCAAAATAATAATCATCTCGGGAGATATTGAGCATGCGCGAGCACTATTTCAGGCGTGTATTACGGACTGACGACAACTGCATAATATAGCTAGCTGAAGGTGAGAGGGGTGGGAGACTGAAGACATGCGACAGGAAAGGTAGCAGAGTGCGCTGTTGACGAAGAAACAGACTGAGAGAGGGACAAGGAAAGCACGGGTGAGGATTGGAGGGAATGAAGTAGGAGTTTTGCATCCTACAGGCTAGGGCGTTCTCCTAATCATAAGCCCAGATACAAAGATACAAATTAATTCCAGAATTCTATGCTGATATACACCCTAACCATATTAAATGCATATTCATTACAAAATATAACTCTTCTCGTGAGATATTGCCCAAGCGCTAACACACTGCGGTGGGCAGATTGTGTACTGGCTGGTATATGCAACAGGGACCTTATATGCAAGGTGTTCTTCCTACTTCTTAAGTGAGATGTACTGATGAAATTTTATTATGTAAATCTATGCTAGAATAACTCCTCTTCATTTTAAATGCATAATCTTTGCAAAATATTAATTATCTCGAAAGATATTGCGCATGCGCGAGCACTATTTCAGGCGTGTATTACGGACTGTCAACAACTGCATAATATAGCTTGAGGACGGTGAGAGGGGCGGGAGACTAAGGACAGGCAGCAGGGAAGGTAGCAGAGTGCGCTGTTGACGAAGAAACAGACTGAGAGAGGGACAAGGAAAGCACGGGTGAGGATTGGAGGGGATGAAGTTGGAGTTTTGCATCCTACAGGCTAGGGCGCTCTCCTAATCATAAGCACAGATACACAGATACAAATTAATTCCAGAATTATATGCTGATATACCCCCTAACCCAGGGGTGGGCAAACTTTTCAAAGCGAGGGCCGCATCAGTGGGCCATGAAAAGTCGAAGGGCCGCACCTTT